AGCTACAGAAGTCTACAGCCGGGCCTGCAAAGGAGGCGATCGAGCAGCTCCTCAGAAGAGAGGAGGGAGAAAGAGAACAGAACAAGAGGAAGAGGAGGGAGCAAGAGCACGCCCAACCCTACAATCATCTGCGTTCTCCACAGCTGACTGGCGAGCCGATCCCCGCTTCTTCTCCGGGGAGACCTCACTCCGCCCAAGCGGAGATTGAACGCGTATCCTCGCCATGCAAGCCAACCGCCATGTGAGGAAGCCCGAGCAATTCAATGCAACCGCCCCCCAAGATCGCACTACTGGCCAAAAGAGCTGGGCCGCCAATTCGTATTTCCGGCTAGGCTTGGCACGAATAACCTTTGGTGCGCGGTTTTGGGTTGGGTGGGGTGAGGTTCACGTGCGCCAGCTAGTGCTGGGGCGACCCCTGTGGGCCCGACCGACGGTCACCCTGGCGAGTGGCCCCCTTTTCTTCGTGAGCAAGTGTTGCGGCCTCGTTTTTCGCTTTGTATTTGGTGGCCTTGCCGCGAGGTCCACGCGAGGACAGCCAAAGGTCTGGGGTCGGCTGACGCGTCTGCGGGAGGAGCGCGCCATCCGACCACCGGAGTCTCTGCGCGTCGACGGGCACCTGCAGCGGCACAGGTCTTTGGGTGTACCATGGGATCCAATCGCTGACCCACTGCCAACAGAATCAAGAAGAACCCTTTTGGGCTGGCCGTGAGATCTCACATCGCTGACCACTTCCGGCAGGATCCAGATAAGAATCATCTCCATGCCCCTTCCCATGCCTTCCCCTCTTCCCCCCCTCCTCGTCCCCCAGTCCTCCACCTCTGCTGGTGATCTGCCTTCTCATCTTCTCCCCTCTTCCCTAGTTCTCCTCTCCACACTCATCCCCCCATCCCCAAGCTCGTCGTCCTCCTCCTCCTCCTCCTCCTTCCCACTCCTTCTGAAATCATTCCCTCATCCTCACCGTCCGCACTCCTCTTCATGCCCCTGTCCGTCCTGCCCCCCGCCATTTCCCTCATCCTGCCCCATGCCCTTCCAACCTGTTTCTGCTACTCTTAAAACTCATCCACGTCTTCCTCATGATGTTCCTTCTCGTCCGCTCCGTCGTCGACGTCCTCCTTCTCCTCCTGCTCCTCCTCATTCGCCTCCTCCTCCCCTCCTCCACCTTCTCCTTCCGCTGCTCCTACTCGCCACCTCTTCCACAACGCGCTGCCCAAGGAAACCCCAGCGGGCGATGAATCGCCGCCCGAAGGTACCCTGGCAACAACAAGGCCGCCGACGCAATCGTCTCCGATCACTCCGTGGCCATCGTGGCGTCCCGCACGTGCGCCTCACCAAGGCCGAGTTGGGGGAGACAACCGTCGAAAGGGGAAACTGTGGGGGTCGCACCGCTCGGAGGATCCGCAAGGGAGTCCAGCGAGCGGGCCAGGCGGCCCTTTCCAACCCACCCCCACACCCCTTCTTCCTCTGCTCCTCCAACCCCTCCTCTTCCTCAACATCCACCTCCTCCTCCTCATCCCCAACCTCCTCCTCATCATCCTCCTCTTCTTCCTCCTCTACCTTCTCTTCCTCCTCCTCTTCCTCCTCATCCCTCTCCTACTCCTCCTCCTCCCTCTCCTCCTCCTCCTCCTCCTCCTCCTCCTCCTCCTCCTCCTCCTTCTCCGCCTACTCCTCCTCCTATTCCTCCTCCTCTCTGTCCTCCTCCTTCTCCTGGTGTTCCTTCTCCTCCTCCTCCTCCTCCCCCTCCTCCCTTTCCTCCTCCTCCTCCTCCCTCCCTCTTCCTCTTCGTCCTCTCTCCTCCTCCTCCTCTTCCTCTTCGTCCTCCTCCTCCTCCTCCTCCTCATCGCATTCATGTCGGAGCTGTGGTCCCCAGTCTAGGCAAGAGCCAGGCGCGCCGCCCGAGGGAGCCCGCGCTACCTCGAGCCGATCGGACCCCTCCCCCGCCAACCGTTGCACTTCCCTGCGGGGGGGGGCAGGGGGGACAGTAAGATCGCGGCCGTCCAGAATCGGGGGTCCTCAAGACGTGTGTGATCCACCTGACGGAAGAGGAGGAGGAGGAGAAGGAGGGACAGGAGGGAGAGGAAGATGAGGAGGAGGAGGAGGAGGAGGAGGAGGGGGATGAAGAGAAGAGGTCTTCCGGTTCCTCACTCCCCCCTCCTCCCTCTCCTCCTCCGCCACCACCTCCTCCTCCTCCTCCGCAAGGACGTCTTCCCAACAGACGTGCAATGCTGCCGCTTCCGTTACTAGTATTCTACATTTTGGGAAGAGGGGTCCCTCTCGTGTCCCTCGGTGCCGCCTACGCAAAGCCGCACCGAGTGGCGGAAAAGAATGTTGGGCCCCCCTTCGTCCCGCCCCGTCTGACGTATAAATGCGCCCCTGACTTCCGTGTACATTTTCCCTGTGGCGCGCAGTGGACTTCTCTCAGGCGCCTGGCCCCGCCACCACAAAGCGAGGTGGGTGCTGGGGCCGCGGGTCAACACGAAGGAGGAGGATGAGGAGGAGGAGGAGGAAGAGGAGGAGGAGGAGGAGACGAGCGTACCGAAGGAGGAGGAGACGAGCGTACCGAAGGAGGAGGAGGAGGAGGAGGAGGAGGAGGAGGAGGAGGAGGAGAAGGAGGATATGCAGGGTGTGGAGGATGAGAAGGAGGGGGAGGAGGCGGAGGTGACCTTGAAAGCCCCAAAAACCTCACCGCGCGGTCCTTCACCGCACGGTCTGGGGACCTCGGAGGCCCTGAGTCACAACACCCAAAACGGTCTGGTGACCCCGAACCTCGATGAATGGAAGAAAAGCGGGAAACATTGGGAAGGCGGGGCACATCTGGAGCGGCCGTTGGGTCTGAACTCGCTGGGGTCCCAAATGATCGGTCATGAGGGTATGAAGCCGAATCCGTTGGAAATCAATTGGTGCAATTTTTCACCCCGGATCCGTGTCTGAAGGTACCGGGGAAAGCCCCCCCCCTCCAAAAGAAAACATCCGAACCCAAAAATTCGGACATCGACCCGCCTCTCCTGTCCGCTGGAAACAGTGCTGGACTATCCCAGACCACCAGCCGGCTCCAGGGCCACAATGACTCGGCCGCCCTCCCCGCCGACGGCCTCCAACATCTCGCGGTAGGCCTCGAGGCCAGGCACCCGCTTGCCCGGCACCTTCGCGGCCTTCGGGTCGGCAAGTAGGCAGGTAGGTGCCATCCCGAAGACGATAATATGTTGGGCCCGGGGCCCCTCGACAGGGGGGGGGGGCAGGGCAAAGAAATTCGCATGCAACTCCTGGGAGGTCAAACTATGACTTTGCCCTGGTCTGAAATCTGGCCTAATCCAACTGAGTCCCGCTGAACCCGGCTTAATCCCGCTCAATCGGGCTTGATTATGCTTAATCCGCGGCCCAATCCGGCGTAGAGTCGCAAGATGGGGCCCAATCCTCCTTAATCGTTCCGACGAAGACCTCCCAGCAGGTGCCTCCCAAGAGTGTGGCTGCATCGATTTCGCGACGTCCACCCAGAGAAAGGGCAGGCTCGCTCGCGCGGAGAGGTGAGGGGGAGGGTGCAGAGCGGCCCGCGGCTGCCAGCCCGCTCTTGCTCACCTCCAAGCCCTGGCCTGCGCAGAGGGGCCGCACCTTCGCCCGATCCGCAAACGCGGGGGAGGAGAGGCGAAGGTCTGGGAGGAAAGGCTCCTCTTTGGCGCCGCCTAATGGGGGGGCGATGGCTGGGGGGGGGGGGGGGGCGGGTTCGGCTCACTTCTCGGGCCCGACAGGCTCCCTTTGGGGGCACCTTTTCCTCAGCTCTCGCTGCCCCCCCCCATCCATCCCCCCCCCCCCCTGCCCCCTCCGGCGGCGCCCAAGGGCTCCTCTGGCAGGGACCCCCTCCTGCACTCACGGCCGCCTCGTGCCGACGCAGCGCGCCGCTGCGGGACTAGCAGACACACAGGACAGGGGGGGGGGGCCCTAGAGACGAAGAGGCCGTTTGCTCTCCCGCGGCCCTGCCCAGAGACCTGCCCCACCCTGCCAAGACGCGACGGCACAATCGGCACTGGAAACACCATGAGCGGAGGAGGAGGAGGAGAAGAGGAGGAGGAGGAGGAGGAGGAGGAGGAGGAGGAGGAGGAGGAGGAGGAGGAGGAGGAGGAGAGGAGGAGGAGGAGGAGGAGGAGGAGGAGGAGGAGGAGGAGGAGGAGGAGGAGGAGGAGAAGGAGCCGAACTCTCCGACGGGGCTCACGGGGCCAAAGCAGACCCAGGACAATCGACACTCGCCGCCCAAACGCTCATCCATCAGAGACCGGGAGGCCTCGTCCCGCGCGAGGGCGACGGCAGCAGCGAGGAAGCTGGAAGCTGGATGGGCCTGACACCAGGCGAGGCAGGTCCGAGGAGAAGGGGGATATTCGCGTAGCCTCGTCTCCATCAGGGCGGAGTAGCGGCCGAAACTGCGACCGAATCTCTGCCCGCGTGAGACGGATACCGGCGCCCGAACTTGTCCGACCGCGCCCGAGTTTGACCGAACTGGTTGGTTCGAAGCTAACGCGGTTTCCATTTCCAAAAAATGCGATACGTGCTCTGACTCAGCAACCACCACTCGAACAAGTCCCTAATGCCAGCTCCGCTGCGCTCTGACGAAAGGCGGGGTCTTTTTTTCCCGATCAGTGAAAGCGCCCGGCGCTGGAATAAATTAAATGTAAGAACTCGCCCACTCCTGGCAGCGCCTGGCTGGCGCCCCGGCGGTTTCCCTTTGACTTCCGCGCCCTCCCGCTGCAGGGCGAGCAGGACACGGGAGAGGGCACGGGGGCGAGCGAGCGAGCTCGGCGACTGCCCACGGGACTGCTGCTGCTCCTCGCCGGGGCCACTGTGGGGGGCCCGGCGGGGCGGGGTCGGCCTGTGTCCCACGTCCGCTGGCCCGCTGGTGGAGCCATGGCCCCAGTCCTCGCCATCGCTCGGACGTCCATCCCCTGTGTGTGTTTTTTTGTGGTCTCGTGCGTGGCTTTTTCGCCACATGATCGAGGATGCTCCTCGATGGTCCTCGCCAAAGAAGAAAAAAAAGCCACACGTCCGAGCGATGCCACGCGGCGGGGCGGGGCCGGCGTGTGTCCCCCGGCCGCTGGCCTGCCGGTGGGGCCACGGCCCCGGTCCCGCTGCCGAGGGAGGCGGCGCTCGGCCCACGGGGCCTCGCGCTCGCGGGTGCTTCACGTGCGTCGGGAGGGCACGGGGGCGCCGGGGCGAGAGGCACAGTCGGGACGTTGACCTAAGGAACCCTAAATATAGAGGGAAGAGAACTATGCACATGCACCGACTCTGGCCAGACCCATCCTGAGCCCATGATCGGTGCATACGCCCTCCTGCCTTGGCCAGGAGGGCATAACCTCATGCCCGTGAGAATAAACACTAGGGGATAATAAAATTCGGGGTTCAGGGAGAGATAGTAAAAGTAGCCCAGCAGACCTCAGCATAATCTCGAAGTAAGAGATGATCCAGAGGAGACCAAGCCGAGCACGATTTGAGACATCCTTGGCGTCTAGTTTTCATAGAAATATCCTCAACAATGGCTTATCTCGCTGGAATGGAGGAAGCTATATATAAAAAAAGAAAAATAAAAATAGTAAATAATAACATAAAAGTAATGATAGGAGGAGGAGAAGGACGAAGAGAAGAACACATCTCGAGTCTCAAATATATTAGATTTTATTTACAAGCGCTTTATGAAAATTGTTGTTTGTAAGTGCTCGTGTAGGGTAGCTCATGTGCCTCAATTTCCATGGATAATCAACCCCAGAGATAAAAAAGTTCAGGCGAGCGTGGGGACAGAGAGAAATATAAAAGAAGAAGAATACAGTAGAAGAATAATAAGAAAGAAGAAGAAGAGGATAATAAGAAGAGGACGAAGAAAGGAAAATCCAAAGTTCCAAATCTATCAATTTTAATTTACAAACGCTTTATGAAAATTGATGTTTTAAGTGCTCGTGTAGGGTAGCTCATGTGCTTCATTTTCCATGGATAATCAACCCCAGGGATAAAAAAGTTCAGGCGAGCGTGAGGACAGATAGAAATATAAAAGAAGAAGAGGAAAGTAGAATAATAATAAGAAGAGAAGAAGAGAAGAAGAAGAAGAGAAGAAAAACGGAAAAATGGAAAGTTCCAAATCTATCAATTTTAGTTTACAAACGCTTTATGAACATTGATTTTTTTAAGTGCTCATGTAGGGTAGCTCATGTGCTCCCCTTTCCATGGATAATCCACCCCAGAGATAAAAAAGTTCAGGCGCGCGCGGGGATAGCAACATCGCTTGATGTTGCTATCTCAACATAGCGTTTCGAGGTGATAATGAAGTTCGGCCTCAGCGCTCGCCGCCCAATTTGAATTTTGTATAGGGCGACGATAATCAACTCTAAACACTGAAGGGGGGGGGGTCCCTTTATTATCATCGGCATGCGGTTATGCACCGATCCTGGGTCAAGGATGGGCCTTGCCAGGATCAGTGCATGTGCATAGTTCTCTTCGCCCGATAAATAAGGAACGAGGCCCCTTTTTCCCATCAGTTAAAGTTCGATTTCCCATCGAAAACCTGGGAGAAACCTAAGGCAAGCTGTGAAGCAATCAGGGAACACGGAGCCCCTCCCCAACGAAAAGGGTTCCTTCTTCAGCGCCCCGACTGTATGCCGGACCGGTGCCGGAGGCGGGAGCCGCGGCATGAGCAGGGGAACGTTCGGAGGCCCGCACGGGTGTCTCGTGTCGGCGCTGGAGCTCATGTCGGGCGTGGGATGGCCCGGCTCCGCGTACACCGGGCCTGGCCAGTGGAAGGAACACTGCGACGCACCTGTTTCGGGGCTTCCCGATCCCAGCTCAGTCGAGACGTAATGCCACCTCAAGGGCCACAGGCGGCTTCCAAACCCGGCTCAGCAACAAAAATCTGGCCCTGCAGGATCCTGCAGGATCCAGCGCTGGGCCTCAGCCCTGTTTGCGCTGAAGCTCCGCTGCCTGCCGGATGAGCATGTTCGTGCCGTGGGCTGTTCTCCAGGGCGTGCGCAGAGTGATGATTCTAGGTGGGCCTCGAACGCGCCCGCTTTCGGGCACGGGGTCCAGGCGGAAGAAACAAGAGGCGGGCACTGACCACGGCGGCGGCGACGACGACACGGCGACGGCGAGGACGACACACGAAACGACGACGGCGACAGACGGAATGAACGCAGCGACTGCACAGAGCGAGGAGGGGAGGGAAGGGGTGGTAAGGCTTCGGGATGCGTACTGGCAGCCCACCAGGTAGTCCTGGCGGTCCTCAATGGGCCTCCCTGATAGTCCGAGGTGGTCTCACCTCCCCAGCCCGCCCTGGACTACTCGGGAGGGCCTGCTGAGGCGAGCCGCGGGACAACCTGCGGGGGCTGTCTGCACGCAGCCCGAAGCCTCACTAGGAAAGGGAGGAGGAGGAGGACGACGATTAAGAGGAGGGGAGGACAAAGACGAGGATGGAGACGAGGAGGAAATCGACGACACGGCAGGAGGGACGAGGGACGGCGGCGGGGGCCTCGGCGGGACTTGTGTCCATATCCAAGGCAGCTTGGAACTTCGGGCTGCCTTTCCCGAAAATCCGAGGCGCACTGAAGATGGATAAAAAGCTGGTCCCATCGAGACTCAACTTGAATCCATGTCCAGTGCGCTTCGGCATAGCACCGCCATTTCTCAAGAAGTTCACGACGCATTGGATACGGATGTTGAAAGCTGAAAACTGAACATTGGTTTCAGGCCTTCGACTGAGCCCCTTGGCCTAGCCTCGCAACACGCACGCGCCACGCGTGGGCGCTCGCCCACAACAGGGCCACAAACCCAAAGGGGCCAAGGGGTCCGCACCCCGAGGCCGTGGGGGACATAAATATTGAAGCCCACCACACCCGAGGCGGCGTTTGCCCCGGTGCCCGCGACGACGTCGCCAAGACGACGGAATACGCGAGGCGGCGACATACGAAAAGATGGCCCGCAGAATATTGCCTGCAGAGGGACCGAGGACCGATGGAGGAGGGGGATCGAGGACCGAGGATCGAAGATCGGTCAGAGGAGGATCGAGGACTAAGGACGGAGGAAGGGGAGGAGGATCGAGCGAGGATGAGGAGCGCACGACGAGTCAGCGCAGCAAGTTCTGCACCCCAGCACGGCGGGCAACGAGAAGGCGTGTGCGGCCGTGTGCGCCGCTTGTTCGGCAACAGACCTGTCCTGCCTTACACCTGCAGGGGTTCACTGCGGAAGAGGCGGAGGAGGAGTCGGAGGAGGAGGAGGCGGAGGAGAAGGAGGAAGAGCAGGACGCGGAGGAGGAGGAGGGAGAGGAGGAGGCAGAGGAGGAGGCGGAGGAGGAGGAGGAGGAAGAGGAGGAGGTGATTTTTCCCCCGCGGTCGCTGGCGCGCCTCGGCCCTGTGCGGCGAGGAGGCCGCGCGCGCCGGCGGGAGGTGCGGAGCCTCTCCGGGAGGAGTGCGGGGGCAGCCCCCGGGGGCCCTCGCCAGGCTGGACCTCCTCCAAGCAGGGAGCAACGAATCGAGTGGGGGATCTAACACAGAAACGATTTGCCCCCGAATTGAGTTTCTCGCCAAAGCCGGGAACAACGTTCGTAGAACGAACATCCATTCCTGGACTCGGCGAGAAAATCCATTCTGGTGGAATCCATTCTGTAGTCCGTCCCCTACTTGACTGACAACCGACATAGAGCCAAACACAAAGACAAAAACCCAACCTGTCGGAGCTCCGCGCGGGGTTCCTGGATCTGCGCTGGAGTCGCCCTGACGGCGCCTCTGGCGCCGCCCCTGGCACCCTACGCGCACCAGGGAGGGCGGGCCATCGCAGATCCAAAAAGTCCGCCAAGGCCTCCGAGAATCTGTGTTTATGAGGTTTTTGTATTTCTTCGGTGACATCACCACCACCAGGGGAAACAACAGGATGCATATAAATCCAGACGAAGCCGTCAGAGTTCTCAAGGAACAGGCTATAATGGAAGATGTATCCGGCGGCGCGGCCATGTCAAAGCGGTCCAGGACGCTCTGAGAGCGTTCACGAACGCTCTGGAGCAAGTGATCTTCATATCTTCATCCTAGGCCTCCTTGCCATGACCCTGCTGTTGGTGTGCCCCCCTTTTCGCGGCGCCCTGCCAACCCCCGAAGCATCTGAAATCTTCAGCTCGGGTGAAGCATCGTGGACCTGCTTGTTAGAGGCGCCCAGCTGGTGGTGGTGTTGTTGACTCTCCATCTTCCAGTCCTCGGCCAAAATTGTCACGGACCAGGCGAACAAGCCTACACTTCTACGTCTCCTCCAGCCCATACTTATGCAAGGGCTCAGACAACACCAGAAGGATTACAATGACGAGGAAAACCAGGGCGACAATTACTCCGTGAGAATACTTACTGGCTTCACAGCCCCGTAGCTGCGGCACCAGCCAACTACATGGCAGCGCGCCAGCATCATAAGTGCCGTCAAGGCCGCGTGGGTGATCAGTATGTGCGGTCGCTGCAGCATTCTACGGACGCGCAATCAACGGGAGGAACGCGGGTTGGATGGAAGCCTTGCAAAACCTTGGGCCTGCGGCGCACGATGGCCAGCGGACACCAGCACTAACAGCGGGTCGGAGGAAAGGGGGGACAGGGAAGGGTTGGTTAGCGAATCAGCCTCGCGCAGCTAGCTGCCTCTCCTGGCGCAGGAGGCGCACATATATCCAGGAAAGATCATGTCGGCGGGGCCAGAAAAAACCGGCTGCCTGCATACATCCACTGGAGGAAGTGCAAGATGCACAATCATGCACGTTCGGAGGACCGCGCCGATTTCCTCCTGGGTCTGCGCTGGCCGCTTGGCGCGCGGAGAGCGCCAAGGGCAGCGCCGGAGGTGGGCGCCGCCAGGAGGGCTCCAGCGCAGATCGAAGACACCTGCGCGGAGCTCCGAAAATAGACGACGACAACAACAAACAGCAACAACAACAGCAACAACAATAAGAAAACAACAGCAACAACAACAATATATTTAAGACTGTTCGCTCTAATCTGCTCGCGTGCTATCCAACACGTATATCCCAAACCCTCGATACCCATCCTCTTCGTCTTCGATCGTATCCCCTTGGGGATAGATCGTTCTTACCTGCAACGTGTATGTCGTGCAGCACCTCAGGAAGGGGAAGAGAGGACGGATGGAAGGAAGAGACAAGGGGGAGATAGGAGGATGGAGCACGAGAGAGAGAGAGAGAGAGAGTAGCAGGAGGGGGGCTAGGAGCAGAAAACATGTGGCCGAATCACAAAGGGGCCTACGCCGGGGCCACGAAGGTCAGCAATGGGGCCACTGAGGGCACGAGCGACTGGGGGCCACGAGGGGCGAATCTATTGGCCACAAAGGGCAGCGAGGGGGCCACTCAGGGCAGCGGGGGAAGCACACGAGGCTACACTGGGGGCAACGAAAGGCGTGGATATCGGCCACAAAGAGCAGAGAGGGGGCCACTGAAGGCACCAGCGGGGCCACGAAGGGCAGCAATGGGGCCACTGAGGGCACGAGCGACTGGGGGCCACGAAGGGCATATATATATATATATATATACAAGACTCTGACGGCTCGCTACGCTTCGCCTTCGAATCTTGGTCCTTCTCCTTCTCCTTCGCCTCATCCTGCCCCTCCTCCTTCTCCTTCTCCCCTGCCCTCCGCCTCCTCGTTCGGCCCGGCTTGGCGGGGCCGAAACGGGCCGGGCCGGCGCGCGAGCCGGTCGAGCTGGCGCCGATCGGGCAAGGGTGGGCGGCGGCAGCGGCTGTAGCGACGACGACGACGACAACGACGACGACGACAACGACGACGACGGCAGCGGCGGCGGCGGCGACGACGACGACAGCGACGACGACGATGACGATGGCGGCGACGACGATGACGATGGCGGCGGCGGTGGCGGCGGTGGCGGCGACGACGACGACGGCGGCCTTTCCACCTGCGCGGCCTCCCCCATACGTCGTTGTCGTCGTCGTCGTCGGTCGTCGTGTGTCGTCGTCGCCGTCGTCGTCGCCGTTGTTTCGTTGCCGTCGTCGTCGTCGCCGTTGTTTCGTTGTGATCGGCGTCGCTGGCCGGAAAGCTTCCTCCACGAACCTGGTGGCTGGCATTCCGGGGATTTGAGGCCATGACTGACGTGCGTGATTTGTGTATCGTGCTGCGCGGCGCGCGGGCGTGCGTGCGCGCGTCCGCGCGCGCGGTGTGCGCGTGCGTGCGTGTGCGTGCGCACGCATGCGTGTTTTGTGAGTTTTTCGCGTAGTGTGGCGGTTGGGCGCAGTGTTCGGGCACTGCGCATGGCCCTCTGCTAGAAATTACTGTCGCCTCCCCGCGCGGCCGCTGTTGTGACGTTCGCCCCTGAGGAACGTTGCTGCAGGTTGCGCGTGCCCGGTTCGAATGAGGAATAACGTAAGGGGCCCCCACCCACCGCACGTGGCGCCTAGGAATATCCCTGCCGACGCGCGGACGGCGATGGAAGTGGTGGCCATGGCGACGATGGCCAGAACAGCAACGACGACCAGGGGGGCGGCGACGACGGCGCAAATGACGACGACAACGGGGGAGGCGACAACGGAGCGACGACGACGACGACAATTCAAAGGCGATAACGACGACGACGACGACAACGACGACGACAACGGGACACCAAGATAGGGCGACCTGGTGGCTGGCATTCCGGGCGGCCTGGGCGCAGACACATGCTCGCATGCCCCAAGGGCCCCCTGTGCGCCTTCCTTATTTTTTCCGTCGGCGACGCCCTGTGTCTGGGAACGCCCAAGAAACGCATTGATATACCCTTCCCGCGGTTGTATATCGCGCTGCGTGGGCTCGGAAGGACGCATGGGCTGAAGTAGAGAGGAATTCATGAAACAGGAACGCGCGATGTTTACTGAGCACAACATGCAATCCAACATTAATAATCGAAATACCACTCAGAGATAAACGTTCAAGTGTGGGGCTTGTACATCCTCAAGGGCTTTGCGCCCGCGAACATCTTAATGTATTTGTTGTACTCGCATAAACTCGTTTGGCACTGCGTCGGCGCGATGCCGGCCGAGGCAGCAACTTGCTCAAGAGAGAGGCTTTTGTCGCCACACATTCTCCTCACGTGTTTGATCCCCTCCTCGGATCCCGTCGTCAGCGGGCAAGACGCGCATTTATCTGCAATTCGAATGAGATTCAAAGATACTAAATCGCAAGCAATCTGTAGACTTGTGAACGGCAGTTGGCGCCGCCTCTGATTGATCAAGCGTGCGCTGGTTGTTTCGGAAATAAAACGTTGAGCGTGGGCGAGAGAAGGGAACTGCATCCCGACGAGTTTGGCCACTGGGTCATCCTTCGTTTGTTTCCATTCACGCAAGCAGCGAAGAATCTCGGCATTCGAGAGGACACGGTCGCATGTGCCGTGGCCACCGGTCACCGTTAGGAGATCTTCCTCCCATGTGTTAGTCACTAGCATTTCTGCCAGCGCGTTCGGTCCCCCAACTGCGTTTTTTGGGCTGGACAAGTGTCTGTGCATGAAACAGAGCTTGATTTTGTCAACTTTCTTCCTTATACTTGATGCAGCCGCACAGAGCTCTTTTGACCCACGGTCGACCCCGCGGTCGATGTTATTGAAGGAACAATTGTCCAAGAAAAAGTTATGCGTCATCTTGCGGTTTTGTCTGATTTTCCGTAGCTCATTGCATGGTGTCGCGGGTCTGCAGATTTATGAAACTCTGATGGCGTCTGATCTTTACTGGCACGCTGCGCCGCCCATCTGAGATTGGCTGCTTCCCCAGCGCTTTTCTTGAGGTGCTCGTGTTGTGTTGCCGAGGACGCTGTTTTCTTAAGCTTTTCTAATAGATCTTTGAAGTCTTTGACGGTCTTCAAATGGTCTTTGCGCATCTCCCACAGCCTCTTCGTTGCATCATACTTGTTGGCCGCGCAAGGAATGCGGGCTTCTTTCAGAGTGCCGCGCAACGTTTTACCGACGCACAGCCGGTCGCTGTTTTTAACGGCAAGTACGATAAAGAAGCGGTGCAGCAAGATGGCGCATGACAAAAAAGGAAACGCGTGATTCCTGTCAACCAAAACGGCTACGGATACTTGCGTTGAAAAGAGCATGCGTGAGGTCACGTGCCCTTTCAACCTGGCGGCTGGCACTCCGGCCTTCATGGGGGCGCATGTCGGAAAGGCAAAGTGGCACTCAAGACGGCCCTAAACTTGTGCCAAAGAAAAATGGTACTGTTGAGTGGGCGCATGGACGATCAAAGACGGCGTCATGAGGGCTCGCGGAGCCCGTCCAGGCGGCCACGATAAACCGAATGGAGCCAAATAGCGGCCCAAGAGGGCCTGCAGAGTTCAAGAACGCTCCGAGCGACCGTGAAGACAGTCCCGCAGGAGCCAAAAACGGCCTAGAACGGACGACATTGATCCACGTGTGCCTTGCGTAAGCGGGTGGAAAAAGGTGTCACATGTTACGTATTTTCATTGTTGTTACCGCCTCCCTCTTCTTCCGCCTCCTCCTCCCTCCCTTCATTTCTTCCTCCTTATCCTCACTCCCACGCAGGGTTTGCTGTACCTGCAACCTGGTGGCTGGCTTTGTGGACTCATGCGCTGGGGGCTCTTGGATGGCTGCCTCGGGGGGGGGGCGGCCCAAGGTAGCCTCAGGGTGGCCCAGCATGTGTGCAGGATGTGTGAATCGGCTACGATGACGACCGAATATGGCTCCAATGACACGCCCAACGAGGCTCAAAGAAGTCAAACTCACTGTTGACGTTTTCCACCCTTGCGATCTTCCGTCGGCTCAAGACGGGCCTGGTGGCTGGCATGGCACACGCAGGAGCGGGTATCCAAAAGTGCAATATTGATACATATAAATATGTTTGCATATATGTCTTTGTTGGCCTAGCGCCCTGTCCGTCGGTTCTTCCCCCTTCCGTCGTAGCTTCATCCCCCCCCTCGTCGGACTCCCCGCCCGAAAGGGGACCTGGTGGCTGGCACTCCGGTGTGTGGTGTGTGTGATGGTGCCTGTGTATGTGCGTGCTCGTGTGTGTAGGTGGTGACCTGTGTGCGTGAGGGTGTGTATATGTGTATGTGACTGTGGATTAGGAGTTTGTGTGTGTCAAGTGTATGTATGTGTGTGTGCATCCCCGATTGTGGCCTCCGGGTCCTCGATTTTAGCCCTTGGGGTCCTCGATTTCGGGCCGTTTTCGAATTTGCTTGGGCGTTTGTGGGTCGCCTTTGTTTGATTTCGGGCGGTTCGGAGGCCACCGTGGGAGCGTAGGTGTTGTGCGAGGGGGGCGGGCGGATCATTGGCGCATCGTCCGAAAGGGGACCTGGTGGCTGGCATTCCGGTGTGTCGGCGCGTGAGTGTGCAAGGTGCCTGTGTGTGCGTGCTGGTGTGTGGATGTGGTTACTTGTGTGCTTGAGAGTGTGTATTTGTGTGTGGCTTTGGATGGGGTGCGTGTGTGTGTGTGTGCGTGTGTGTCTGTGGGGGTATGAGGTGTGTGTGTGTGGTGTGTATGCGTGTCTGTATGCATGTATGTGAGTGGCCTTTGTCCGAGCGGGCCACCGTGCCTGGGGTGTGGACCAGGAGCCTTCGGCATGCCTTCTGAGGGCTTTTGTGAAGGCTTTGAAAGGTATCGGGGGAGATTGTTGGGTTTTTTTGGGGGCCTCGTGGAGGCCTCTCGCAGGTTTCAGGGGGCCTCTTGAAGAGGCCAGCGAAATTAATTTTCGCAGGTCGGAATGTATCAATCAAGGGGGCAATCGTTGGGCCCCGGGCCGTCGCGGGCTTGCACTTTCGGGCTTCGACGAAGTCCGGCGTGCGTCGAGAGACAATGGCTTAGACCGCTCACTTGGCACTGGGGCGGCGCCGCGCCGCGGCTGCCTTCTTCCCGATGGTCTTCGTCACGGGGCACTTGCTGGCGGGCTTCTTGGACGGGGCGACGCCGGCGGAGGGCTGCGACGTGAAAGATGAGGAAGCCGATGGCGCGACGGGCTGGGTGAAAGTCG